ATATATATTGTGCATATTATTATTTTCGCTTCATTCCGTTTTTCCCTTTTTACTTTTTGTCATTTGAATCATGTACTGCCGTTTTAAAATTTTAACGTTTTCTTCGTTGTGATTTCACCTTTTTTTTGTCGTTTCTGGGGTAGCATTTTTTTTTTGTTGTCGTTTACTTTGTTGAAGCTCTTTAATGCCGTTTTATCATGTTGTCATTTTTTTTCTTCATTATCGGTTTTTCTGTCTGTCGTTCTAAATACATTGTCGTTTTTAAATTGGGTGTCTTCTTTCCATATTTTGTCGCTTGATCCTTTTCTCTTTTGCGATGCTTTTTTGGTTTTCCATTACGTTTTCATTTTTCATTGGTTAAACCCAAAGATGTTGTTTGTCACTATAATCTTTTTCCTCTGTCGATTTTTTCCAAACAAATCTTTTTCCCTTTTTTGGTATCGCATTTTTTTTTTGGTTAGCGCTTTATACCTTTCAGCTGTTTATTGTCGTTTTCGTCTTAGCTGTCGTTTTTATTTTCATTTCTTGTCGTTCTTCATTTTATGTGATCTTTTCTCCGTTGTTGTCGTTTTAAATGTGTTGTTTTATTGAATGCCTCGAAATGCACTTGCACTCGTCCGATAATTAAATGTATAATTATCTTAAGGTGCCGCCTTTCTACAAACTTTTAGAACTAGAAACAGAGAGCAAAACCTCTAACCGGCATTTAATATTGTTTAAACTCAACCAAACAATAATTAGGGTTAAGCCAAAAAAAAAAAAAAAAAAAAAATCAACCGTTGTTTTTGTCGTCATTTTTCCCTTTGTAGCACTTCTATAGCCGTTTTCGTCTTAGTCAGTTAGTTGTATTGCTTTTTTCATTTCTTGTCGTTTTGACTATTTCTTGTTGGTTTTTCATTTTCTAAAATATTCTCACTTTTCTCGTCGTTTAAAAAATTTTCAGTTGGTGTATCTCCAAAATGCAGTGGCAAAAATGTTAATAAAATCAACTCTTAATATTTTTAGATGAATAGTATATATGTATAATTTGAAAAATTCTTAATTAGGGACACATTTTGAGAAAAAAATAATTTAATGTGTGATTTTTTGTATGGCTTAGATTATATCTAAATATATTTTAGAACGGATCAATTTGAAAGAAAAATAGTTTTCATAAGAATAAATTAAATTAGAGAAAAAAATCAGTTAGGTACATTTAAAGTATAAGATTTAATAGGAAAAGATCAAAAGAACAATAAAAAATAAAATAATTTGAGATTGAATTTTGTGAGGATATATTTAAAATTTTTATTGATAAGGGGGCATATGAAAATATTTTGAGAAAAGATAAACTAAAAATAAAAAATAAAAAATCCAGGGGGCATATCTGCCAATGCCAAAATGCACACGTGCACCCGTCCCATGAGACGTACCCCCCAATAATTTGTACAAGAAAAACAGAGCTCTGAAAGAACCATTTTTGTTTTGGAGCAATGCCATATAAAACAGATCAAGGCAGTTTAATTTATTGGGTAGATGATTCCTTTTTACATGAAATAGACTATTTTTTTTGATGAGTTTATAGCCATAAAATTCGAAGGTAGATAGTCTATTTTTGAGTTGGGGTGTAGGAATAGGAGAGAGAGAGAGATAGATAATCAATCATGCGAGACCGCAACAACCTGTTTTCCGACATTGCGACCGGAGAGGAGGCCAACAAGAGCTGCGGGGCCGCTCTCCAGGCCTTCAGCTATGTCTAATCAAACATACTTAATGTTGCCTTGTCTAATGTAAGGCAGCATAAATTCAAGAAACTTTGGGTAGAGGTGATACTACTCATGAACCCTGAATCCTTCCATGTAAGCTTGTCTCAGTATCAGCTGCATTAAGTTGTGAACGCCTTCTGCCTTGTCAACGTTGTATTGTGAGATCATTCCACACATCGAAATTCGAGCGTGGTTCCTCAACTTCAGCAGTACTGCGTCCAACATTTCCCCCCCGACATTATCAAAGTAAATGTCTATGCCTTTGGGGAAATACCTGCCAAATTTAGCAAACGTGTGTTTGATACCACCAAAACAAAATGAAAAAGGATATATATACATACACATATATACATATTAGATGGTGATAGTTAAAACATAGATTGGTATCTGACCTTTTCAAAGCTGCATCCAAGTCGGGCTCTTCTTTGTAGTTGAAAGCATCGTTAAACCCAAATTTCTTCTTTAACAAATCAACCTGCCCGTTGCAGAAAAAGAAACAAAAGAACAAGCATTTTTAAACAAAAGAAAAAACAAGGAGTTCATTGATTCATGACAATGCAACAATTCGGGTCAAAATTACCAACTCCAAAGTCAAATATTTGACATGTTATAAGCAACATAATAGCGACAAAGTATTTGATATACAGTTCATCACAAGAATCAAATTGTATGGCAATTCAAAAAGAGAAAATAAAAACTTAAGCAGCTGGTGTGAATTGGCAAACATGACATCAATTAGTAATAGAAAACTCACCTTTTCTTTGCTTCCGGCACTGCCAACAACATAGCAACCCACCAACTTGGCAAACTGGCCAACAAGCTGACCAACCGCGCCAGATGCCGCCGAAACATAGACATATTCTCCTTTCTTAGGAGAGCAAAGTTCATAAAAACCAACATACGCACTCAACCCAGGCATACCTACATAAGATGCACAAAGAAAGATCAAGTTTTGACCATCTGATCGAGCAAAGTCTTTAAATTACTATTGATAAATAAAAATCTACAAAAAAAATAGTACTAGACCTTTTGAATGCAATGGCTTAAAGACATGAATTTATGGTGGGTTTGAGTTACATAATGGGAGCTTACCAAGAATACCGGTATAGTAAGAGAGAGGAACATCAGTATGATGAATCTTAAAAAGACTCTGCGTTGCGTTGAGAATGCTGTATTCTTCCCACGCTGTTACCCCCCAGACCAAGTCCCCTTCCTTTAAGTTTGGATTCTCTGACTCCAACACTTTACACACTCCATACCCCTTTATAGGCTGCATAATATTTAGATAAAACTCAATAGTAATGTTTCTACTCATCCATGTCTACTTCAAAAACTTTGTTCAAGAAATAATCAATGCATAGAACACATACCAGAATCCATTAGTACAATTGGAAGTAATCCATAAATTCCAAACTAAACCAAAAAAAAAAAAAAAAAAAAAAAACATACAGAGAGGGAGACTGACTGAACCGGTTGAAGGAACCGAGATGAGAGGCAAAACGCGAGGTGATGTGGTTTAGCATGGTGGGATCGCAGGGCAAGTAGAGGTTCTTCACTAAAACCCCTTTGGAACCTTCTGGAAGCTTCAGCTTCAGAGTTGAAGATGTGACAATGATCATATCCGACTCTTTTGGAACTCGGCCACTCACGTAGTCCTTTAGTATCACCTGCTTGTTCCTCACTTCCGCCATTGCTATTTGCCAATCTCTCTCTCTCTCTCTCTCTCTCACACACACACACACACACACACTCTCTCTCTCTCTCTCTCTCTCTCTATCTCACCTTTTGAGAGTAGCAGGATTTGTGTTGTATTTATAATAAGTGTCCGGACAAGCAAATACGTATGCATTTACATCAGCAAAATTTTGAACACATATAATAGTTGTTTTAGATTTTCATTCCTCTTTCTGGTGCAAAAGTTTTGATTTATAACTATGATATATCTTGACTCATGACTGTATACTATATATCCATCACCTGGTTTATAATTATACAATCTCTCTCTCAAGTTTCTATTAGTATATTCTAATTCTCTATCTTATTTCAACACGTTTGAAATGGTTTATTTTTTGAAGTCTTGCCTTTGAATGTTAGCAAACTTTGATTTTACTTTGGCTTTTTTGTGGTGTTCAAATCCATGTTTGGTGTGTTTTCTTCTAGAGTAATTTTTGCTGTAGTCTTTGGCAAAAGCTACAAATCTTTGTCATTCAAGTGTTCTACTCATCCACTTTCTTTTGCGCTCAACTCATATTTTCGTCTGATGGCGTGTTTAACTTCCTCCCTTGTTAGAGTAATGAGATTTCACTACAAATATTTTCGTCTACTGAGTTGTATTGCTCTGCCCAATTAGTTAGGATTAAGGCGTGTTGTTGTAGTTGTTGTTAAGTTGTTTTGCTCTAATGACTAGTTCCACTTTCCCCTTCTATTCTCATTTTCATACTTTCTGATTATTTTTGTTTCCCTTTTGCGTTAGAAGAGCTGAGATGATTTTTATTTTCCCTCCTTTAAATTATAACTTGGTATCAATGGGCGCTTTTTAGAAAGGTAGTTTCAAACACGCGTTGAGAAGTCATAATAATTTATCTTCTTCTATTGCTTAAAAGTCTCTATAAATTATTCAACGATTTTGTATCATTATGTCAAATTAGAACGCTTCACATAACATTTCAACAATTTCGTGTCAAGTGCGCATACCTTATTTGAGCATTCCATGTACAAGCTTTTAGAACTAGAAACATAAAAATGCAAAACCACTAATCAATAATATGTATTAAACTATTCACCTCAACCGGAGACGTAAATCCCCCACCCGAGTCAATCCTTGTTTAAGTTCTCATTTTCTGTCGTTTGAACCATTTGTCGTTGTTTGCGATTGAGTGTCATTTTTCCTTAGTTTTTGTCGTTGGTATCTGGCCTCGCCTTTTGCTCTATTGTCTCATTGGTTGCCGTTTTCTCAATATTGCCATCTCTCTTTTGCATATTTTGTTGTTACCCCCTCGTTTTCTTATGTTTGTTTTTCGTCGGTTTTGTTCAATGTTGCTCTCTTGTTGTCGTTTTCTAACTCTTTCTTTTCCTGATGTTTACTGTTGTTTTCTTGTTAGTTGCCTTGCTATTTTACTTGTCGTTCCGTCCATTTATCGCCCTCTAATTGCATTTTCTACTTTGCCCTTTGCTTGTCGTTTAACAAATGTATCTCCGAAATGTACGTGCACTCTTCAGATGAGACATTACTCAACAATTTGTACCAGAAACACACAGCTCTGAATTCACCATTTTGGTCTTAGACTAATGCCATATTATACAGATCGCAGAAGACGATTCCTTTTTATTCGAATGTTTACAAAAACACGTACACTTGTAAAACGCTCTGGAGCAACAACACATTAGACAGACTATCTTATTACGAGTTATAGCCATAATTCTTAGAGTAGAAAGTCTATTTTCAAGAGGTGTTGGAGTAAGGGAGACGTGATCACTCACGCGAAACCACAACAACCTGTTTTCCGACATTGCGACCGGAGAAGAGACCAATGAGAGCAGCGGGGCCACTCTCCAGGCCTTCAGCTATGTCCTCCACATACTGAATGTTGCCTTGTCTAATGTGAGGCAGAATAAATTCAAGAAACTTCGGGTAGAGGTGATAGTACTCACCAACCACGAAACCTTCCATGCGAGCGTTTCTTAAAATGAGCTGCATTAAGTTGTGTACCCCTTCTGGCTTCTCAAGGTTGTACTGCGAGATCATTCCACACAACGGAATTCGGGCATGGTCCCTCAAGTTCAGCAGCACAGCATCAAGCATTTTCCCCCCAACATTCTCAAAGTAAATGTCTATGCCTTCCGGGAAATACCTGCCAAATTTACACAACAAATCTCAAAAACTTTGTTCTCTTAAAATCCATACACTAAATCGCCTACCTCTATCATTCCTTCCACTTGTCCGCTAACAAACAAGCTCTAAGGCTTTTGAATAGATGGAAGGAAAGAACTAGTGTGTTGGGAACGTGAGAAAATATTGCAAGAGTTGATTGTCTGAATATTTTCCAATGAGAATCCATTTTTTGGATCACACTATAAATACGGTTAAATCTTCATCTTGGTGTGTACATTAGATGACAATAGTAGCAACATAGACTAGTATCTGACCTTTTCAAAGCTGCATCCAACTCAGGCTCTTCTTTATAGTTGAAAGCATCGTCAAACCCGAATTTGTCCTTCAACAAATCCACCTGGCATTGCAGAAAACGAAACACAAGAAATTGTATTTTAAAAAAAAGCAAGAACAAGAAGTTTGTTGATTCATCCAACACCAACAATTTGGGTCAGAACTGAACTACCAACTCAAAAGTAAAAAGTTGTGTCAAGCAACATGATAGTAATAACGTATTTGGCATCCAGTTGAATTCAATCATGAGAATCAAATTGTATGGCAACGCAAAAATAGAAATCACACAATAAGTAGCAGCTGGAGATTGGAATGGAAAGTATGACAGTAGTTTGTAATAAAAAACTGACCTTTTCTTTGCTTCCGGCACTGCCAACCGCATAGCAACCCACCAACTTGGCAAACTGGCCAACAAGCTGACCAACCGCACCAGATGCGGCAGAAACATAGACATATTCTCCTTTCTTAGGAGAGGCAAGCTCATAGAAACCGGCATAAGCAGTCATGCCAGGCATACCTACATAAGATGCACGAAGATCAAGTTTTGAATTTCACATCAAGCAAAGTCTTCAAATAATAATAATAATAATAATAATAATAATAATAGTAATAATAAATCAACAAAAATTAGTAGACCGTTTGCTGACATTTAAGCCTACATGAGTCTCATATTTTAAGTACATCAGAAACAGATATTTTCAATGCATAACAAGCAACCATACCAGCAGGCATACATGATGTGCATTAATAAAAGATCAGTTTTTGCCACTCTGTGATAGAAATAATTACAATATTGTCCTGGATAGCATGTAGCATCCAGGCCAAACAACAAAAAAAGGTAATAACTTTTAGAGGGTTTGAGTTAGATAATATTAGGAGCTTACCAAGAATACCGGTATAGTAAGAGAGAGGAACATCAGTATGATGAATCTTGAAGAGACCCTGTGTCGCATTCAGAATGCTGTATTCTTCCCACCCTGTCATCCCCCAAACCAAGTCCCCTTCCTTTAAGTTTGGATCCCCTGATTCCAACACTTTACTCACTCCATGCCCGCTTATAGGCTGCGCTAGATTATGCATGTTGTTTCAGATCAAACTCAATTGTAATATTTTTATTCATCCATGTCAAATTCAAAAACTTTGTTCAAGAAATAAGTAACAAAATTAGCAAATAGAGATAACAATGATCCATAGATAGAATTTTCAAAACTAAATACCAAAAAACAACAACACACAAATGAAATTATCCATATACAACATATATAAGAAACCATATATATAGAATTTTCCAAAACTAAATAACAAGGAAAAAAAAGAAAAAGGAGAGAAAAATAGAAAAGACGTCACGCACAGAGGCAGGTTTGAAGGAATCGACATAAGAAGCAGAAGTGTCGTGGTAGCTCATGCGGGTGCGCATGTAGGGATCGCAGGATAAGTAGAGGTTCTTCACTAAAACCCCTTTGGAACCTTCTGGAAGCTTCAGCTTCAGATTGGAAGATGTAACAATCATGTCCGATTCCTTTGGAAACCCTCTCACGTAGTCCTTCAGTATCACCTGCTTGTTCCTCACTTCCGCCATTGTTCTTGGCCACTCTTTTTTTTTTTTCTTTCCCTCTCTCTCTTTTGGGATGAACGAGGCAAGTAGACGGACGGTTTAGATCATTAGATGACATATAATGGTGTCTTTTTATTTTTTGTTTATTTTTGTTTTTTAATGTCTTAAATTATGCGTCTAATAATTCGTATTCGCATGTACCAAGGATGTGTTTGGTTGCTCTGAGTGAATGATAATGATAATAAAAGTGAGAATGATAATAATAATAAAATAAAAAAAATTAATTAATTTATTTAGAACACTATAACACATATAACACTAATATAAATAAATAAATAAATTTATTTATAATTTATTTATTTATATAAATAAATTTATTTATATTAGAACACTATATAAATTAATTAATTTATTTATAATTTTAAAATATACTATAAAATAAAATATAAATATTTTCATGTTGACAATGCATATAATACTAATATTTTATATATCAACATAATTAATATAACATATAACACGTAATATAATATATTAAAATGATTAATTATATTATAAAATTATATAATAAATAATAATATTTCAATTATAATATAATTAAAAATTATAACGATATTATATTATACTATAATATAATATATATAGTTACAACATAATATATTAATATATTTAATATAATACAATAAAACTATTGTTATATTATATATTATATAATTATGATATAGAATATAATAATATTATTAAAATAATTAAGGTAATTATGATACTATAAAACATATTATAATATCATGTAAGAAACAATAATATTTCAGTTATAATATAACTAAAAATTATAATTATATTATATTATACTATAATATAATAAATATATACAATATAATATATAATTAAGATTTTATTATATTAAATAAATATATTATAATTAGTACATTAAATAGTCATAACACACGTGTAATACACTAAAATAGATAAAAATATTAGAATTATAAAATTATATTAGTATTTAATTATATAATAAAAAGAAGCAGTTGATTTGGTTGAAACATGTGATCCGATCTAGTGACTATAGTCTTACCTAACCTTTTCGTACCTCTATTTTCGTTTCGTACTCTCGTCAGTTGATTTAAAGGTTTGTGTATTTAAATAGTCTTCTCATTCGCTCATAGCTCGTTCTATGCTTATGGACTCTACTTGTTTTTGTCACAACTCGTTCATAAATAAAAGATTCGCCTCATTACTTTAATTTCACTCACATAAGAATTTGTCAAGCTCGTGATGATTTGTATGGAGTAATTTGTAATGGAATGGAAATTCAAAAAAAAAAAAAAAAATGGGGGAATTTTTAAAGGAAAAGAAAAAAAAAAAAAAAAAAAAAAAAAAAAAAAAACTTTTTAATGCAAAAAAACAAAGTCCCTGGTTGTTTATATCTCAAGGTGACTAATTATTTCTCTTTTAAGTCTATTTGCCTTAGAGACATGATTTGACTTCTTAAAAACATCCAATTTAAGGAATTTCAAGAATTGAACTAAAGAAGCAAAGAGACAGAAGCCAACCAAAAAGCTATTAACATAAGTATGATATTATTTATTACAATATTACAACTATATTATATTATTAAATTATATTATATATTATACTTTAATATTATTATATATTATATTATAAGATATAATTACACTACAATATATAACATATTATTGTAGAATATTAAATAAATATATTATAATTTATAACTATATTATAAATGATAAAATATTATATCATAATATTTTTATTATATAATATATTATATTACATATTATAAGATATAATTACTATATAATATGTTGTAATTATATTATAATATTCAAGGATAATTATAGCAAAACAAAGAAAAGAACATTGAATGACTATTCTTCTCATATGAGAAATGAATGATGATTCACTCAAAATAGGTGAATGATCATTCTTTTTGAATGACTATTACTTTTTTATAAATCTAACCAAACATCATACTTAAATTCCATTACATTCTATTCTTTTCCTTCCCACCTAACCAAACGCACCTTAAGTTTTTTTTTTTTTGATGATTTTTCTAGTACCTGTTGTACTGATAGTTTATATTTTTCTAATCGTTGAATTTACATACTTTTTGAACTTTACGTGATTTTATGTAAATCCGACGGATAAAAAACCTGACCTATTGACATATTGACGTACCGGAGAAGTTTTTTTTTTTTATATATCATTTAAATCGGGTTTGAACTCCATATTCTAATTTAATCTTAGACATAATCATTTAATTTTCGTTTTTGATGAAAAAGCAGAGGTACAAACAAAGCACCTCCACAAACCTCATTACAGAGCTATTTGAAGTTAAACAATTTTTTTTTTTTTTCCGATCCCCAAAAAAAAAAAAAAAATCAATAGTGTTGTGCGACACAAAAGGGAAAGCTCTACCGAGTAATCAATTTATTACTGTTAGTATCGCAATCATTGTATATCCATAGGTATATTAAAACTGTCGCACAATAATACAAGATTCAACAATTTTGCATTTTACAATGTGAGATCAGTTCTATTCTAGCATTGTCAATGCTTTTAGATTACTCAGAAGCAACAAGAACAAGGCTTTTCCCGACATGGAGGCCAGAGAACAGGCCAACAAGAGCAGCAGGTGCATTCTCAAGGCCTTCAGCTATGTGTTCGACGTAGTCGATCTTTCCTTCTCTGATGTAAGGAAGTAGTGTTTCCAGGAACTTTGGATACAAATGATAATGGTCGAACACGAAAAATCCTTGCATGCGGATTCGTTTGAATACAAGATACATGAGATTGCGAACTCCTTCAGGCTCATCCAGATCGTACTGCGATATCATTCCGCATACGGCTATGCGTCCGTGGAGCCTCATGTTGAGCAGCACCGCGTCCAGCATTTTTCCTCCAACGTTCTCAAAGTAAATGTCTATGCCTTGTGGGAAATACCTTTTTAATGCTGCATCCAAGTCCTTCTCTTCCTTGTAATTGAATGCCTCGTCGAATCCAAACTTGTTCTTCAATGTTTCAACCTTTTTCAACGACACAAGTCAGTATTCTCTTTTATGTACAAAGTTCATGAAGAAGGCACACTGCCTATTTGGCATGATCTCAAAAGTTACCTATGAGATTGTTTAATTGAGTTTTAGAAGAACCTTTGATTTTCAAGAAAACTTTTCTCTGGAGACCTTAAACCATATTTTACTTACTCATTAACAAAATTAAGTTCCAATTTTGTCTCATTAAGCGCTTTTAAAAAAGTTGTTCTAAACACATCATAAATACCTACAACTTTAACTTTTCTCCTTCTACTACCTAAACGGGGCTATAACAATACAACAATTTTTTAACAAGCAGCGATACCTTTTCTTTGCTTCCGGCGCTACCAACAACATAACAACCCATCAATTTTGCGAGTTGACCAACGAGCTGACCCACAGCACCAAATGCTGATGATATGAACACATACTCTCCCTTCTTTGGAGAACAGATTTCATAGAAACCAGCATAAGCAGTCATACCAGGCATCCCTATTAATTTATCAAACGTAAAGCTTTTGTAGTGATACAATAACCGAAAGCGTTATTTTCTAGAATCTACAGAAAAAAAAAAGTGCATGAGAAGATGATGTTACCTAGAATTCCTGTATAATAGGAAAGGGGAACATCAGTGTGGTGGATTTTGAAGAGGCCTTCAGTCTTTGTAATAAGAGTGTACTCTTCCCACTTGGTCATTCCCCAAACTAAATCGCCTTTCTTGAACTCAGGGTGCCCTGAGTCCAAAACTCTTCCTACTCCAAACCCGACTACTGGCTGTGTGCATTCCACCAAATGCAATCATTTAGTACAAGTACATTTGTGTATATATGATTCACAAAAGAAACTATTAAAGAAAGAAAGAAGATCAATGACACACATCCTAAAAAATTTCATCATGAATGCATATGAATGATGTATCAAAATTTTATAACTTCTGCAAACTTGAAATTATTGTTCTGGTATAGCTTGAAATTATTGCTTATGATGTATCATAAACTTGTTTTCCACTATGGATTACATTTTTTCGAGAAAAAAAAGAGTAGAAGTGATTTTTGGTGCAACACTCCCTTGCTTAATGGAGCAATTTGTACAAAATATGCTCTTCTAAGCATGCTAATTTTGCGTAGTAAAGTTTATGATAAAATAATAAGATATGATGCCAAAACATTAATCTACACGAGGGATGTTACAGAGGATCTTACTGAGTTTGGAGCGAAAAACGTAATCATGTCAGGTGTTGGCTTCTTAGTGCCTCGCGTGAAAGGATCACAGGACAAGTAGAGGTTCTTGACCAAAACAGCATTTGAACCCTCAGGCACTTTGAGCTTGATGGTGGCTTCAGTGCTCAAATACATATCAGACTCTTTTGGATTTCCATTTATGTAGTCTCTAGCAAGCACCTGCTTGTTGCTCACTTCTTCCATTCCTGACATCACCTCTTTGTCTCTTTCTTACTCTAAATCTCTCTTTCAGTTCGCAAATTAAGCGAGAAGCGTGATTTTTGTGTTGTATTTATAAGGGTACGTCAAGCATATACATATGCATTTACATCAGCAAAAGTTTGACCATGTCTAATTGTTGTTTTAAATTTTCATTCCTCTTTCTGGTGCAAAAGTTGTAATTTACAACTATGTTAGATCTTGACTAGTGACAAGATAGCCAATAACTGGTTTATCATTATAACAGCTATACTTCTTTCTGCGTTGCCACCTGCCATAGTTTATTTATCCCATACGTTTGTATTTCTCTACTTTATCCTTCATTCGAAGACAAAAAATATCTGGATTTGTTTTCTATATGTATGCTGAGAAGGACCGGAAAATACATATGCACTCACATCAGCAAAAGTACTTTGGTCAACTATATACGACATAGAATACTTGTTCTTGTTTTCATTATATGGAAATGGAATGTAACAGTGTTAGGTGATTTAATAGAGAAAAGTCATACAGCGTATTAACATTAGGGAATTTGGGGGCCTACTCATTAGAAAAATCTCAACCTTTTTGACTCCTTTTGAAAAGCACAATTTTCCAATTTTTTTTTTTTTTTTTTTTTTTTTTTTTTTTCTGTTTTTCGGGTAAAGAGTCTTGTTTGGTATTGAAATGCAAAGGAAGCTGGGAGGAAAATTTTTCTTTGTTTAATTAATCATTCTATCCTTACTAAGTTTGGTTTTCTATGATGACAAGGGGAAATAAAAGTAGTTTGACATCGTAATGTAATAAAGTGGAAATCCCTCCAAATGGAGAGGGATCAAAATTAGCATTTCTCGGAGGATCAAACTTAATTATGAATACTAGAAATATTATAGCATCTACTCCTACTCTAGATCTTTATAAACAGGTGGCGGATCAAGTAGTTGTTACACAGAATTTATTATTATTATTTTTTTTATGACCACAATAAAAAAACAACAATGATATGCGACATTAAAGGAAAATCATGAGTGGAGTAAGAAAAGATGTTATTATTATTAATTAGTAATTCAATCATCACATATGTGTTGGTGTATAAAAATTGTTACATAGCAGTGAGACCATCGATTTTATGTTTTTGATGTGCATTAGTTTTATTTTATAGCCACATGTGCGATGATGTATTATCAATAGTGATGAATAAAGATTAATCACGAGCAACAAGTATGCTTCCTCACCATCTAGAGAGAAACACTCTATTAAAGAACTCTAATGATTTGACTTAGTTAGTAATTTCACAAAAGTGTCTATTATTGTTATTATGGATTTAGATACGCTTCCTCAATTTTTTTTAGTAATTTGACATGATGGTTCTTGGAATTTATGAATATAGTGATTAAAATCATATTTATAATTAAAATCTAACACAAACTTCATAGAAGCCAACATAATGTCATAATCCGCAAATTCTTGCCCCATTTTAAGTGTTAGAGGTTTGCAAGAAGACCTTAGGATTCTCTAAAATGTTCTACAATTGTCTACCATATGGAATATTCTAGATAATCCTAGAGAAGTATAGACTATGAAATTCTCTAGAACACTCTACAATTATCTACATATGGGTTGTTCTAGAAAATTCTAGAGGAGTCTAGTCTTTGGAACCTTAGAGTTCTCTAGAACCTTGTGAATGGTTCCATAGAGAAGTCCATTGTAGAAGACTTTAGAAACTTATAGAATGCCCACACTTTGTAAGCATTCTCTAAAAAGTTTTAGGACGGGAGGAATTCCATAACATTCTAGAATGTTCATGGGAGGATCCCCTTAGCCTATAAATATGAGTGGTCCCTTCATTTGTGGGCGGGAGAAACCAAAAATATTGGAGTCTAAAGTATTGTAAAAGTTTCAAGCCAAAAAGAGAGAAGAGGGAGTAGAGAGCTCACAGAAGCAGGGGTGAAGGAAGTGAAGACGTTATTCGGGTCATCCATCCTTTGCAAGCGAATCCGGAAGTAAGGGTCGTAGGACAAGTAAAGGTTGTTGAGCAGCACAACCGATTATGAAGTCGAACCCGCATGTCCTATATTCTTTGGAAGCTCGTAGTATTCGTTGAGACGTACATGTGAGTGTCTTTGGGAAGTCCTGACACATAGTCCTTCAATATCACCTGATTTCCTCTCCACCTCCATCACCATCCTTGTTGTTACTGCCTTTAGCTTCCTTCAATACTCCTACACTTGCTCTGTTTCTCTTCAGTCTTCATCTGCACATTTATTATTACATATAAGCTTTGAGAATGTAGTGTGAGGTCTCAAGTAATGCCACGTGTGTGTCTCTCAATTAGCAATATCTCCTCTAAAAATCTCTTGTTGACGTGAATGTGAGGGAATGCCTGTTTTCAACCATGAGTTGCATCTGATTCTGGCATGTGGTTCTATTGGTCTTGCTATAATCAAAAGACTTTTTCGTTCACTCCAAGCTTAACCCGAAGCAGTACACATCACTCTTGACAAGATCAAGCTCCCAAGTCCTGCTGGAATCGGGATCATTCGAATTCATAAGAACTGCCCTGCTATAGTTTGATATTTTAGGCTCGAAATTCTGATTGAGTAAGATAGAGCGTGAGGTTATGTCAAGATGAGCAAGAAGAAAACTGGAGTGATGGTGGAGCCATGCCAAACCTCTCGCTACCCCAACTGCGATCTTAAGCCTCAAAGCCCATTCCACTGTCATGGCTGCAATGGCTTTATCTTCTTCTCTTGGGTGTAGCCAATCGTAGAGATTTCCGTTTGACATGTACTTGTAGACCAGAATCCTTTCTACGCCTTTTATGCAGAATCCAAGGAGAGGAACTAGATTATTGTGTCTCAATCTGCCAATACTCTTTATCTCACATATGAAATGCTTCTTGAATAGTTGTTGAGAGGCATGATGTAGTCTCTTAACCGCGAGCAAGCAGCCATTCTGCAACATTGCCTTATATGTGGTCCCCATCCTTCCCAACCCAATGATGTTGTCCTTGCTAAACTCGTTGGTTGCCTTGCTGATTTCTTCAAAACTCATTCGAGTGGTCCGCCATTGTAATTCCGATATCTGCCAGTCGATTCAAATTCAATTACGATTAAGATTGAAAGAATAAATAATTAAGTAGCCTTCGAGATTTAACAGCCAATTTTGATCCTTCCAAAGTTGAAAGGATTGGAGGAGGGAATCCTTATAAAACATAATAAAATAAAAAGAAGAATAAAAGAAAAGAAAAGAAAAGAAAGGTCCTCTTCTTTCTCTCCATTTTGCTTAACTAGATGTAGATGTTATATCCTTCTTATTTTCTTTCCCTCTTATCAAACACAACATAAAGGATATAAATCACAAAAAACTTTGCTATATATGTGTGTGTGTGTGTGTGTGTGTGTGGAAGAGAGAACCTGAGGTGACAACTTGCAAACCTGGTCATGAATATGAGGTTTGTTTGTTAGGAACTGAATGGTGTTCCTGAAAGGAAAGACTTTTGCCTTGTTTCTTCTCCTCTGCTTCAAATTCAACCAAATCAAGTAATAGTAGGACATTAAGCTAGCCGTAACAAAACCAACCGACACCACATAACCAACCACGAATCCCTCTTTGAAATACTCAATGAAATTCATCGTATGCTGTGTTGGTTCTCAGTCAGTAAGTTTGCTCTTCAGACCTCAAAACAAAAGACCTGAAAGGAATCGACTTGATCACAAACACAACGCAAAAACAAAGACCAAATTTAATTTATACCAATTAACCACTCTGGAAAATTCAACTAGTCCTTTTTTTTTTTCAAAGAAAGAAGAAAGAAATTGTAAAAGTACTTATTGTCCATTTCATGTCAGCATCATCAGTGGCGAAATTAATTGGGAAACCACCAATGGCATACAAAAAATGGTTGATTTTGTTGTAAACTTGCTGGAAAAGAAGAATTCAACTGAGCACATATATATAGTTGTGCAACTTGTTTTATAGAATATGCCCCTGATCCGACATTAGAGAATTTCGAGCATCAAAGGCCAATGTAAGAGGACCAAGAATTTTCATAGTCTTGTCATATTACTAAAAAAAAATGTAGAAAACTATCAAATCCGTTGCGGGACTAGAAGGTGGGATGTTTAAGTCATGCAAGTAATGCCTCTAACCATCTCTAAAAGCCTATTAATTAAGTCATACAAGTTATAACAAACTTATTTTGTGGATACAATTCATACATACATCTACAGAAGTAGCAAAAATGATCTGAATTGGTAAAGAATTGACCTTGACTTGGATGTTGGAAGTTTTACTTACCATTTGTTTATGTTTTACCATCCTTGTACTCTTATACTGTCAAATAGCTGTAGCATTTGCTTAACAGAATACCACCCAAAAAAAAAAGACACGATCTCATATATCATAGACCAATACATTTATCTGAAAATCATAATAATGAACTTGTTGTTACAGTATTACATCCTGAAACAAACTCCCAAAAAGGGATTTTAGTCGGATGATTGCGAGGCCAGGCTCGAATAAGCAGCCAGGAGGAAACCTAGCTGCCAACGCCACGGGCTGAAGCAACAAATTGACTTAATTGATCTCAATATCAATAACCTAACTATCTATGTGTTTTTTTTTTTTCCCTTACTTTAAGTACTGAAACATTTGGATAAGGACAAAATTACAAGTATATATTTTTTGCCTTGATCTATAGGCTTTAAGGAACTAATCCTATTTTTAATATTTGAGAGAAATTGTGGGGTCTTATTGTTGGCTTGTTGCAGCTTCTACAGGCAACTGGAAGGCTGGACAAGACCAGAAGCGGTTCCAGCAGCGTGATTGCAGGAAGCTTGTGCAGGAAGATTCTTGTAAGTGAGCTTCACGTCCTGCAACCTGATGTTGTTGCATGGATACTTTGAGCTGCAATCGAACTTAACCGCTACTTCTGTTGCCGATGTCCCGTGGATGTCTTGGTACGTTACATCGCTCACTTTAACACCCGAAACCTGCAGTATACATGAGTACCTAAGAATTAGTCTCGTGATTATTATTTATGTGTATAGTACTGCATCACCAATAATGATAAATAACAATCTTTTTAAAATTATTATTTCGTGTGCGTGGTACCTGACCGGGGCAGCCCTTGTTGTCGGGGCAGTAATTTTGATCGATGACGATGGGATTTTGGACGTTCGTCATGACGGCGTGCTGGAATAGGATGTTCCTGGCGAAACCACTGCTGGGCCTCCCCCATGACTTTATCCTCAAACCGTTTTGGGTATTTCTAAACGATGCCGTTTTAACTGTCACATTTTGCACGCCTGCCTCCTTCAGGTCCTTGCCTAGGCTCCCAATGCTGCATATCCATATATTCATAAGTAACACGTACCAATATTATTTTATTTATTCAAATTAAACTTAGTATATATCTTTAGCCTGATTAGCACTCCTCCTAATATTTAGTTGTTGGAGAGTGATACCTAATTCCATGGCCAGGTCCACATGCAATGTCTTCAATCCACAAGTTGGTGGTGCCGGGCCCAATTGAGACGCAGTCATCGCCTGTTCCGATCTTCGAGTTGAGAATCGTCACCCCAGTCGACATCTGTACGTGGATACCGTCGGTGTTGGGGCTGTTGCCGGAAGCCGACACCTTCACCCCTTGCAATTTGACGTTGCTGCAGCCGTTGATCACGATGTTGAACATTTGGCTGTTTAGTGATGTTAATCCCAAGATCTTTATGTTGTTTGAGTTTGAAAATCCCAGTGTCTGCACATACACACACACACACACAGAAAACTCCAATCAATTTAATTTTCTTTTTTCTAATTTCATTAATATTTATATATTATCTACTTTGTAGATCGTATAGGAAAAAAATAATTAAATTAATATAACACAAGACGTACGATCATGCACATGATGATCAATTTTTGACTTGAGGGCGTCATGTGCTTTCAATTAGTAAACTGAAATCAAAACCACTCGCTAAATTTATTTAAGCAAATAAAACTGATCCCAAGCAATATGATTGACTTTTGACGTTCACATTGATTCATATCTATTTATTATAAGCACTTTTGTTGTAATATATACATATATATTAAATTATTAATATAATAATCCTAGCGATCGCTCCTTTTTTTAAAAATTATTTATATAGCTTATTAACAGTTACTTTTGCTGACATTAACCCCTTCGACAGAGAAAAAAAAAGAAATGATTCCTGATCCTTAGCCAACAATGTCAGTTACTAATATTCTTCCATTGATTCCCATTTTCCCAGAAATTGAATGTTTCTATAAACAGTTTTTTTTTTCAACTTTTTTTTTAATCTTCCACAATTAACAGTTTGGTTTCGTAGAAAAATGAAAGCAAAAAATAAGGTGACTTGAAATAGTGGTATTGAAAAGAATATTTCCTTTTGCTACGATCATTCTTTTTCTTGCTAACAAAATTGAACCTGCAGTGATCATCTATATATTGATTAATATATAACAAAAGCGGTCGAAAACATCTTCTTATTGTTACTTGGTGCAATCAAATCAATATCAAAACATTACCTTGTATGTTAAAGAAAGTAACTCAAAGCAAATATATGCATACACAAATATATAAATATATATATATATATATATATAGAGAGAGAGAGAGAGAGAGAGAGAGAGAGAGAGAGATTGAAACTTACGGTTGCTCCGCTGGGGCAATTACCCTTGCCGGATCTCTTGCAATCCCAGAGGGAGGTTCCTTGACCGTCAAGAATCCCACCAGAAATGGTCACCCCATTAACATGCTGAAAGAAAATCCAGTAGTCGGAGTTTCCGATGACCCGGTAATCGGACGGGGCCACCAGGGTACCGGCAATGCGGAAGGTGATAGCATTGTTTTTGCATTCGCCTCCAAACACCACGTTTTTTAGGAAGAACCGCCCGGCCGGCACGTAAACGACGGCGGGATTGGGTGATGCGCAGGCTTTGGCCCATGCAGCGACGAAAGCTTTGGTTGAATCCGTCTTGCCGTCCGGTTTAGCTCCGAGACTCACCACATTATAAGTTGCTGCGGCGGATAAGGCGGAGTGGGGCAATGTCACGAAGATGATCGTGATGAGAGATATAAGCCGGAGAATGTTGATTCTGGAGGGACTTGTTAGAATTGCCATGATTTGGTTAGTTTTGATTCGGGATGAATAGAAGTAGTAGTAATTGTAATGGTACTAATTAACTACTAAGAGAGGAAGATGCCGTTATGTATCTTCTTCTCTTTAGGCAGTAGAATACAAGTGTAGCTAGTGTTTGGATTGGAAGTTTGAAGGATCAATTAAGAGCTGATTGGTATTATTTTGTTGAACAACAAATTTAAAGAGTTAAAGGAGATCAGAGTGGTGAGGAGTTGAAACGGTTTGAGGCCGTATTTATAGTAGTGTAGTAGTGGTCCAAGGGAGACCAATTACTTGTGTTTTTTTTTTTTTTTTTTCTTTTCTTCTCTTATCTTTTTTTGTCTCAGGACTTGCTTATTAGTTTGGTTAATTATTTATTACAAATACATGGCCCCCACAAAATAAATAAATAAATAAATAAATTTATAATAAAAGCCTGGCTCCCGCCGAACTTTTGTGACATTTTGATTGATTTTTAGCTATTATTTTACCAAAATGGCCTTACGTGGATTTGCCTACTAGCTAGCTTTGCGGTTCTGATTGGTTTTTAAGTAACTTCATTTTATTGGCATTATAGTTTGGATATAGTTATAGTCACATTTACATACAAGTACTTGTCCACAAAGTAAGGGCTTAACCTCCTTATAATTTTTATATACATTTACATTATTATCATTATTATTAAAAGCAAAAAAAAAAAAAGAAAAAGGTATAAACAGTTGCGGCGAAAGCGACCGTATATTCTCACTTTTACTTTTTGGGTAGGAACTATGCATGTTAACGTGTTTGATGCATGGTATTTGCTTAAACAATGGTATAATTATGGTGCAAGTTGGGTGCCAATATACTCTATACATACCCTATTATCTACAACCTCTACAAGCATGATGAGATTAAGCAGTTAGTCAGTTATGAGAAAAAGGACCTTCTATATTGATATTCATTTCAGGCTTTACGATTAGGTTATCCCATTCATTAGTTTCTTCTAGTACTACTCCTAGGCGCTATAGCCATATGGTTTTGATTCCCTTGAATTTCCTAATATTCAGATGATCATCCTATGTTTTGAAAATCAATTATATGATTCGGTAGCAGTTAGTTCTATATTTATGTACTTATGATTTAACTGATACATATCCACGTGATTGAAAGCCGATTTTAGGACGTTTATTCCTATCAAGAAAATTCCATATATAGCTAGCTAGCTAGCTAGCTTAGGGAGTAACGGAATCACAAACCTTTTGAGCAGTCTCTGGAAAATTAAGAGTGTAGATCAAGCAATTAATTAATTAAGAGAAAATATAGAATATGGTTTTTTTTTTTTTTTTGCGTTAAAAGTAATATAAGTAGGAATAGTCAATGGGCTACATAAAGTTAGTTAATAAATTTTCCTAATTACGGTGAGACGACCAGATGAAGTTAATTCAAGGGGATGAGGATCCAATAGTTGCGTCCATATATGATTGCTTGATTGGAGGTACAGAATTTCAAAGGTCAATATCTAATATTAGACATTAAATAAACGTTGGAATAGGAAAAGACTCATGATCATACAATTAATATAGTTACGTATGCATATATATTATGATAATAATGAATAAATAAATAAATAAACAAAACAAGTTTCTTAAAAAAGCTGTGACGGTTATAAGCGTGACTGCATAGATAAGCAAAACATCCCACCAAGCCAACATCAATACAAATTCTTGGAGGAGGCAGGCTGATCATTTCATGAGGCTCTTTTTTTGCGGTGCCTTGCGTTATGTATAATGTTATGGCTTCTTGTTGTTGCTTTGAGCGCAAGCTCAATGCTTTCCCTCCTACATCTACTCTCTTCTCTTTCATATCATTATCTGTGTATATTTATATATGCATATACTTTGTTCCAATAACCAATTTCAATTCTTCACCAGATTTTTCTCTTTACGCTACATATGATTTTTGGTATTTTGTATCTACACCTTTTTATTGGTTCATATTTAAAAAACAAAAAAAAAAAAGGTTATGGAAAAAAAGATCAATATTGCTCTCCAAAGACGCGACCAAAGTAATAATAACGTCTAATAAGGTTAAGAAAAAAACTAAAAGATATGAGAATTAAAAGAGATGTGCTAAGTTAAGTGCACAGTGCGTCTGTATGTGTATATGTGAATTAAATAAAAAGTCATCATGTATTCAATAAATTTTTTGTTACTCTATTTGTAAGTACTGTAGAGAGTTTGGAGATCCCACAGAATTCTCGTTTTCTTCTGTGGTTAATTAGCAGTAAAGGAGAAAAGTGGGCGCAACAATATACTTCTGTTTCGTCTCCCATTATATAATAGAAAAGACACCAAAATAATAATAATATATTTGTTTTCAAGCAAGAATTAGAAAAGGGTGGGAATTTGGAGAATTGCAAGATTCAGGACCTTATCCTTTAGAATAGCTTCTAGTTCTCTTTCCCATCCCAATATATTAATTAAGAGAATTCATTTATATGATGTAAACAAATGTATGATGTATACATAGGTGTATTAATTGTAAATATGAGTTTTAAAACATTCTACTTTTAATAAATTTTGTCAAAGTTATAATTTTTTTTTTTAGTTTAAATATGATTAAAATGTGTCTTACAATTGAAAATTGCACATATTGATAAGATAATTTTTCTATACAACATAACTCTCCCTCTTTGTTTTTTTACAATAAATTATAACTCTCTTATTAATTAATCTGTAAGCCTTGTGCCTAGTAAGTGCATGGGGTGTCCACTACTTGTTCGTCCATATATATACTAGAGAAATACTAATATTACTATTTTTAAAAGAATGATCTAGTATTTTTTTTATATATAATACACTAACTCAATTTCTCTCTACCATGCTTTTATTTTTTTCCCCGAATTTATAATAATCTTTGCCTCCAATATCTCATAGATGATCTATCATTGATCTCTAGCTAGCGGCCAGCGTGATGGAAAGACTAATCAAAAGAACTAAATCATTTGCATAGTAGAATGTTATGACGTAATTTTTTGCTCTAAAAAAAAAATAGCAAAGGTGGATCGCTAGCTAGCGGGACAGGATGAAGAGATTGAGGGGCTTGTGTCATTGTGTGTTTAAGATTCGACAAACATGACTATATGGGCATGATTGCGTTTGTGATCACATGTGCTCTTGTCCCAAGTTGTTCCTCTCTTTTTCTTCTTCTCTTCTTCTTCTTCTTCTTTTCCTCACAATTAATTGAAATGAGTTAATATGGATATATATCATCACTATCAATTGGTTAAGAGAGAGAGTTAGAGAGAGTGAGAAGGTCCTTAGAGAGTAGAGGTTGGTTGGAGCTCTGACACAGTCTCCGAATGTGTCGTCTGACTCCCGGTCATGAAATTTGGTCCTCCGACTCGTCTCATCGTGGACTTCTAGTTGGTGGTGGTGTACCATGTGGTGGCTCCGTTTGGACAAATTTGAACCGGTTAAGTGCTTCGAAGCCGAATGGACGATCTCATTTCTCAGGGGAGTTTTTCACTTGGTGGCTGAGATCTCTTCACTGGCTGTCTTCCTTGATGATCCTCTGGCCGGACGCCCTTCACCGGAGGTTTCTACCGGCGGTGGTCGGAGGTTTTTGTCTTTTTTTAACTTTTGTGTTTGTAATAAGCTTGGTGGTTTCTCCACTCGACCCTCATTTAGTTTGTTATTTTTTGTTAGATTTAAGTGTTCGGCTTAATGTTGATAGGGTGGTCTTGGTCCGGTTAGAATTTTTTCTACGCTGTGTAGATGTTCCCTTTCTATGTGCTTTGACGACTTGTCCTTGTAGCACTCGACAGTTTATGTTAAAGAGAGAGATTTTCTCCAGTCGAGCTTTTAGTCTGTTCATTGTTAGTGTGCCGAGGTGCTTTCTTAATTTCGAGCCTCAGGCGTACGTTTATCTCTCTGATAGGATGGTATTATACCAAAAAAATGATATATTAGTATTTTAATGAAATGCAATTTTTTCTTTAAAAAAATGAGTTAATGGGAAGAGGAAGGATGTATCATATAAGTTGTCCTGTAGTTTATTTAATATTTACCATATTATATCCAATATTTTAGGCGACGGCTATGATAATAATTCGGAATATATAGGAAAAGAAGGGCGAGTAATCAATGTGAAAGGAGATGGGGAAACGTGGAGCATATAACGGAGAAAAAATCGCCCTCCTCATGCATTAAACCTCCCCCGCCATGCCCACGTGCCTTTTGCCCACTTCCTTTTCTTTCAGTCATTTTCTTTTTCTCATAATAATTATTATTATTTTGTGTGATATCATTTCTTGTTTGGTTGTGGGTTTTCGGCTTTCGACATGTTCGGTTGAAAGTACTTTTTATCATATACAATCCAAAACGCAAAAAGATAAGGATAAAGGAAAAAAAAAAATACAATGAAACTACCTTAAACTTGTTACTAATGGAAGCATATTTTCTTGGAAATTAAGAAGAGAAAAAAACATGTTTGAACAGTACTGTCATAACAATAATATTCATATACACGGATGTAGTTACAAGAATATACACGTAAAGAGAAAATAACGTGTGTTTGTGCTTTAGTATTTAGCCAATAACGAGCATTTACGCCATGCATGCGGCCGGAGAGTGCGGCCATCGCGCGATTCAACACACCAATTGCTTCGCTTTGTCAATTGTCATGGTCTATTTATGCTTGCTTGTTAATATATATATATATATATATATATATATATAGAAAGAGACGAGTTTTGAATGGTTAAGTTGGTTACCACTAATTATAAAATTTTAATGATGTAACGTGATAAGAATTCAGTTTTATTAATTGTTATAATTTTTTCTTGTTAATTATATAATTTATTATAACCGTCGGATTAATATCTTAAAATTAAAATAATGATATCCACTAATAGATAAATATCGAAGCAACACCCATATATATGTATATTTCTCTAAAAATTAACCACGTGGCGCAATCCCATCGCATGACATTTGCTCTAGTGTTAAACTCAATCAAATTAGACCATAAACCCCATGTGAGCTTCAACCCACAAGATTATAGGCGCACATAACGAGATGCCATTCATTGCAACCTGATAAATTTTATTTCATTTTCCTTTTTTTTTTTTTTTTTTTTTTTTTTTTTTTTTTTTTTTTTTCTATTCACGCTAGGAATGGCACTACATACTATCATGTGCTGATTCTATATTTGTAAGCGTAAATAAAAAGATTAATTAGGTTATCAATAATTAGCTTGAATTATATAAAAAATAATAATTAAATAATTAGTTTGAATTGATAATTTGGGATCTAGCTATTTGATCTATAACACGCTGGCATGTTGCACCTAGACTACTGCAACAGAGCGAATTAAGCAAAGAAAGAGCTTAAAGGATATACGAAGTTAAAATGCTTTAAGTTCATGCATTTTGACTAATTATTTACTTATAATGTTAGGGAAGTATACATATACATACAATAGTGGAATGATCGTGGGCAAACATAAAATTATAAAACTCCTTTCTATAGTACTCTCTGATTGGTCTGTGTGTCTATATTATACATTATAAAAATAAATATAATATATATTTATATATTAATAATGATGATAATAATAGTCATTGCTTATAGTCCTATTGTACCTATCTGCGGAGAAATTAATGGTTACATATAGGACATATAGCTATTTAGTTATTTTAAAATACTTCAATAAGATCATTAATCTCAAAAATAATATTAAGAAAAAGATATTGATTGGCCAGTTTTTAAATAAATTAAGAATGACAACATAAGAGAGAATTTCTCAACTTACTCTTAAAAATGTAGGGGTCTTAATTTTTACCTTACTTTTAATTAATATTTTTTTAACTAATATAATTATTTCACTAAAAGGCTATTAATTAATAATAAAAAATAAAATTAATCTCATACATTTTAAAAAAGTATTTACCTCTTTTTTCTAATAATAATACAATTACGCAGCTACGGTCAATGACATGACAGCCCACCGCGGTGTATTGTAGAACGCAAACTTCCTGCATCTTGCCCATACATATAAATTAAAGGGCAAAGTACGGTCTCTTAAGAATAATATATATATATTAGAAAAATAATAAATCATTTAGTATTAATTAGCGATAAGGTTCCAATATGTCTTCAAACTTCAATACAAGAAATCGAGTTTATGAAGGGGCTGCTGTGAGTGTTTTCAGGGTGTACGTAAATGGGCTACATTAATAGAAAAAAAAAATAATGATGAATTTACATATACATATATATGTGAAGTTTTATAAAGATGCCTTGTTTCAGGGCTTCCCTGTTTCAGGCAATTTTTGTTTGGAGTACTACCACCCATGTGATTATTATTGACCATCTTGTACACCCCTATATATATACACACACATATACATAGACATATATATATATATATATATATAGACACACACACATATACATAGACATATACACACACACCTTGGATTAGGCAAGTGAACGCATCTAAATTTAACATATATTTCATCCCCCAATATCATCGCAAGGACAGAATAAATAAATTAATAATAAAAAACATCACTCGTCAACATCCACAATACATGATCTTAACATAATTCTTTGATCAACAAAATTCCTTATGAAAGACGATGAAAATATAACAAAACTTCCTCTAGCTGGGTACCTGAATCGTATATTAAGTGTTACAAGTTTTAGATCAACGCATGCATACATCCGTACTTGTAATATTATGAGCATTAAACAGTAGATATATTCATTTATCCAATGCAAGATATTCAACTGATGATTCAATTTTGTTTCCTAGTTTAGTTGCATGCATGCATGTAGCCAAAAAAAAAAAAAAAAAAAAAACTGCGCAACTTATGCTTTCAAGCACGTTGTGATAAAATTAATTAGTTACGTAAGTCAATTGCTTCTAGCAAACAAATTACTACTCCCTCGATCAAAAAGTAAGCAAACTAACTTCAACTGTATAATTAGTTGGTGAACTACCCCACACACACACATATATATACATGGATATCTGAATTAAGATTAATTCTTTTAATAATATTGGGCATGCATGCATTTGATCATATATAACTCTTCTTTCAAAATTTGAGAAAAATGACAGTTGACCAAGGCATTATATACGTGCGCTAGCTCGCACATATTCTATAGCTAGCTAGCTAGCTATAGCTGCCGCAATTTATGTGTTAAACAAATTTATAAGAAAGAAGTACGGTATCTTAACATTATCCATCGATCATATATATATATATATATATAATCTTCTCAAGTAGGTAGCGTTGCTTGTTAACCAGTATTAATTAAGACAAAAATTGCCTTACAAAACCATTCTTTGACGAGTCACCATAAAATGAGTTGGGCACAAGTACTGAGAATCAGTACGTACGTATCAGAATCACCAACAGACACAGTATAGTACTAGAACAATAAATATGAATAGAGCAGTGTCAGCAGATTGCTTGATTGGATTATGTCAAAGGACCTGAATCACCATCTCTCTACAGTGAGAAAGATATTTATTTTTTATATTCGTCTATAATTTTAAATTATGATTCATAATATTTTATAATATTTTTTTTATAAAAAATACACGTAAAATAAAAATAGTTTTGAATCATGATTCTAAATATATAAACTAAACGTCTTTGTCATATTTTTTCTGTTTCTGTGACTATTTTTGTTATTAAATTTTGATGTCTCGTAAATTGATTAAGTACTTTTAGGCCTCGTTCACTTCGCTGATTCGAGTTTAGAATTTGAGTTTTTCTACAGTAAAAAGCTCTCACAAACAATCATATCTAACTTTTTTGCTACAGTAAAAAGCTCTCACATAAAGTCACATCTCAACTCGAATTCTAAACTCGAATCAGCGAAGTGAACGGGACCTTAATTTTTTGTATCTATTTATATTGTTAGATTTTTAAATTTAAATAACATAATAAATAATTAATAAAGGAACAGCTACCGAAATAAAAGAATAGGGATAATAAATTTAGATTTAAGATGAGACCGGAGAAAGAGACACATATATATACACACATTTCCTTTCAAATATATATATATATATATATGTGTGTGTGTATACACATTTGTTTCTGTTTTCCCCGTATTTTCTAATCTCTATTCCCATCTAAGTATATAGATCGCTAGCTAGCATGATGTAAATACTAATAGCTTTACTTCTATATCATATACATGGAGAGGGAGAATTTTCGATCGAAGAGTGAAAACAACGGAAATAACATGCGAAGATTGCAATTTATATCCGGATAACCGAAACAAAATCAATAATTCTGCTGTGTCAATAACAGATTTCTATAAACGTTAAACAAAGAATCACGAAATACAAAAAAATTAAGAAAAGATTAAAAAAAAAAGAAAAAGAAAACGAATGCTTGACCATATACCCGATAGAACCTAGAAAAAAAACGATATTCTCTTATGTTTAACTTTGAACTGCAAAAAACCCCGTAACATGTTTGCAATATGTTGGCAGGAACGGCACGAGACGCGAGAATCCCAGGGTAAAACAATTCCAGTTTATATTATTCATGAGAAACAAATTTTTTTTTTGTCCACCTAAATATGGGGTAATAGTTCTTTATGATCCAATTATAGTATATCTAGTTAAAAAAATAAAAAATAACAAAAAAAACATAATGAGAATAAGAAAATATTTGGCGTGAAATGAGATGGGTAATACGTGACAAATGGAGCATAAATCGGAAAAGAAGTTGCCCTCCTCTCCTTCACCACGTCTTTAGCCCACTTCTTCTTCTTCTTTTTTTTTAATTTATTATAAATTTTTTCTCATTAATTATTTTCAATCTGTCTCTGTGTCTATCTTTTTCTTTGATTTTTCACCAAAATCTTTTTCTCATCAAAACTCGAATATCCCTTAACCGAAAGCATGAAATTAGGGAGGAATCCGTCTTCTTCTGCTTAGAGGTGAGTTTTCTGATATTAACGCACGTAATTTATGGATGAATGTGTTCATTTCAATTAGAAATTTTTTTTTTTTTTTTTTTTGTGGTGAATTTTGATTGAGGTTTCGTAATCTATAGTTCTGATTGTATGTTTCAATGGTTGATGGCTCTGATGGTTTTCATAATCTATATATATGATTGGATATTTCTTCGAGATGGCTAAAACTCAGGAAGAGAAATAAATGCTAGTATGCAGGGTGAGTTGTTTTATGTTGCATTTTAATCTTCCATTTTCGTTGGTTCTATAATCTTGGTTCTTCAACACGTCACACGTCTAGTTAAAGGACTACTAAATCACATAACATTTGCAGAAGAATTGATAATTTATAATATTACTAATCCTACCTATTTTCATGAACGAATGCTAATTAAAAAGACCCGAGTGATGTTCAATACGGCATGTACACTGTGAAACCACAGATGGGTACCGATTTCTACAAATTAATCCTGGTTTTTCCACTTAAAAGCAAATTCAATACTTGATCGTAGACCCAAAACATTTTTTTTTAAATTTTTTATGAGGCAGCTATGAATAGGTGCTAGTTATCAGTAAGAAAGAAAGGAAGAAATGAAAATAAATAAATAAATACCAACTCACAAGGATATAATGAATCATGAATTGATGAGGAATGGTATAATAGGAATTCCGTAACATTACAGATTGATGGAGTTAATGTAAAGAAGTGAGATGACTTGTTGTGAGAGGAAAAGAAAGTTGAGTGAGAAAGATAGTGATCATGAAACAAGTGAGTGGGCATCTTTCTTTGTATGATTGGCATGGCGATCACACTTGTAGGCTGTTAAAGCTAAAGACTCTTGTCGAAGAGAGTGTTATCGATCAAGGAGTGTTCCTCGGACTCCTTATAGGTTTACATATGGTGGTGTTATTATTAGTTTTGCGTTCGTCACATGCATGCTGAACTTTCTTTGGAACTTAAACGCGTATGAAATGAACTAATAGTGGTGAAGCATGCACATTCAAATTGTGGGAGACGTTTACGACAGAAATTAAAATCCACACAGATAACGTAATACCCTCTTAATTATTTATATAGGTGCAAAAGCTTAATTTTGTACTCTTTTTTTCTATTCATTTTCTACCCATTTTAATGTTTTATTTATTTATTTTATTTCTTGTAGCTTGTTATATAGGTAGTTGGGGAAGTTATGATCATTAAATCAAACTGATGTATACCACTGGAGACCCCGAAACGACGTCATCTCCGACTCAATCTTCTACCTCGCGGCCCAAGCTCCTCCTTAAAATCCCTCCCATTCTGGTTCACAGGATCGCTAGAAGTGAGACTGAGGAAAGTGAAGAAGATGAAGAAGATGAAGAAGAACAGGAAGAAGAAGAAGATGATGATGATGATGATGCTGATGATGATGAAGATCATGACAACGAAAAAAAGGATAAGAAATCTCATGGCTCATCCTTTGTCACGGCATCGTCCTTTGGGCTCAATTACATTCGAACACGATCCATTCCGTCTCCACTTAGGTTCTCGTCATTGGCCAATGAGTCTTCTTTAAATCTTCACAATGATTCGTATAAAGCGAAGTGCACCATCGAGCAGACTTCCAAACTCACCTTAACGGTACAAGGTAGATAGATTTTTAAGATTATTGATTGAAAATTTGTGTTTTGTTGTTTGATTTATTATATTCAGAGTATCTTTCCATTATTGCTTTGTTAGGAAAAATGGATGGAGTTGTGTTTTTGATTAATGTAAGATTATTTTGTAGAGAAAAATATTCATTGGAGTCCTTCAAAATCACCAAAAAGTCCACCGCAACAGAATGCACGGTTAGAGGTAAATAAGTTGCCAATGTCTCAATGTGATTATAATTTATAGGTCGTTTGCTGGTTATGGAAGATTTTATTTTATTTTTTTAATGTGTTAATGAAGGGTAATTGCTCGAACTTTTCCAAGGAAATACAGTCACCACGTTTCAAAGCATTACTGCGTGTTACAAGTGGCCGTAAGAAGCGAACACCGGATATCAAGAGTTTCTCTCACGAACTTAATTCCAAAGGAGTTCGACCTTTCCCTCTTTTTAAGCCTCGCGCTCTTGGACATATGGAGGTGCATGCTGTTTTTTTATCTTTTTTTTTTTAATTTTTTTTTTTATTTTGGTTCTCATTTTGATATCATGTCGAAAAAAACTTTTAGGAGATTATAGTGGCGATCAGGACAAAGTTCGATAAGTTGAAGGAAGAAGTTAACTCTGATTTAGGTGCATTTGCTGGTGATTTGGTTGGTATCCTTACAAGTTCAGAGTTTCCCCCTGAAATGAGAGAGAGTTTGGAGGATTTATTAGTGGTTGCCCGGTCATGCTCAAAGATGTCCTATGATGAATTTTGGGTAAAATGTGAAGGCATTGTTCAGAAGTTGGATGACCGACGTCAAGAACTACCCATGGGAATCCTTAAACAAGCACATACTCGCATTCTCTTTATCCTCACTCGGTGTACAAGGCTTGTGCAGTTCCAAAAGGAAAGTGGTTATGAGAAAGATCGCATAATGGGCCTTCACCAACTTAGTGATCTTGGGGTCTATCCAGAACAATTGTTGGAAACTATTCAACATGACGTTTCTGGCCCTTTGAGTGAGAAGGGTGTGAATGATAAAAAGACGAAGAAGTCCCATGGTAAGGGAAAAGGTGGTAGAGCTCATGAAAATGCCAAAAGGGCCTATAGGATGTCTTCATGGAGGAAACTTCCGTCTCCTGCCAAGAAAAATAATAAAGGAGCATTTGCTGTTCTAGTGTCAGAGGGTAAATCAGAAGATTCTTTGCATGCCAAAGATGGGATGAAAACTTGTGGCGACTACAATGTTGGTTCTCTTGACACTTCGTCATGCCATCCTGATCATACACAAGAAGTTGCAGGGTTATCTTGGGGGTTTTGTGGGGATCATCTGCAATATGTTACTGATGAGCATCTGATGATTTGTCGAATTTGCGAAGTTGAAATACCAACTGCACATGTGGAGGAGCACTCTCGAATTTGCACCATTGCTGACAGGTGTGATTTGAAAGGTTTAAGGGTAAACGAACGACTTGAGAGGGTTGCTGAAACTCTTGAAAAGATAATTGAGTCCTCCACACCAAAAAGCACTCTGAAAAGTACTAATACTCCAGAAGAGAATTTTGATGCTGCAAGATTATCAAACTCAAGTACACATGAAGAAACGGAGGAAATGTCACCAAAGCAAAACAACTTGTCTTGTAAATGCTCTGAAGATATGATTGATTGTGTTCCTGATGCCTCAGCAGGAGGAAGCTTGACCCCACGATCTCCACTGTTAACTCCACGAACCAGCCAAATTGAATTGCTTTTGAATGGAAGGAAAACAATGTCAGAGCTTGAGAACCATCATCAGGTATGTTGCTTTCGCGTTACATCACCTGGAAATGTTTATCATTTTCGTAATGTGTTATTGGCAATTATCATTATCATCAATGTTTGTAGAACTAGACTGAGTTTTTGGCCACTTAAAATGTTACAAAAGCAATCGAAACCATATGTTGTTAGTTTTCTTTTGTTTAACTTTATCATTTGCTAACAGATACTCAAGCTACTTGATGTTGCTCGTTCTGTTGCAAATATAAACAATTGTAACTATACCTCATTGCAATACATGCTTGAACGGCTGGATTACCTAAAATATGTCATCCAAGATAGGAAGATGGACGCTCTCATCATAGAGACTTTTGGAAGACGTATTGAGAAATTATTACAGTGAGTCAATAACATTTACTTTATACCTATATATTTGGCTAGTCTTACAAGTGTGCTTTTCCTTCCAAAAGATCCATGTAGTTGAAGCTTCCATACCATAAACTATTTTATCCATTATTGCCATTGTATTTTTCGTGTATTATATAAGTTGGATGGTTAATTTCATATGATAAAATCACACAATGTTTCCAATTCAATCTACTGGTTGTGATTTTACAACTGCAGGGAGAAGTATGTACACCTTTGTGGGCAAATAGATGATGAAAAAGTAGATTCATCAAATATGGCTGATGATGAGAGTTCAGTAGAAGAAGATACAATCCGCAGTCTGCGTACCAGCCCTATCAAGGCGTGCTCCAACGACCGAACATCTATTGAAGATTTCGAGATAATAAAACCAATAAGCAGGGGTGCATTTGGACGAGTGTTCCTTGCCAGAAAAAGAGCGACTGGAGACTTATTTGCTATAAAGGTGAAATGTCAGAAAATGGTTTGATATAGAGATATGATACTTCTATATTCCTAAGAATTTGACAACACCTTATCTTCTCTTTATTTTATTGGATATAGCTGTTAAAATAGGCATGCATAAGCATTTCTACCATATCAATCTGTGAAATTACGATTTAGTTTCCTTGGAAATCTGGTCATCATATCATGTGTTTTTATCTTATTTTTATATGTAGGTGCTAAAGAAGGCTGATATGATTCGTAAAAATTCAGTTGAAAGCATTTTAGCAGAGCGTAACATCCTTATCTCTGTTCGCAACCCTTTTGTGGTAAGCATTCCCATGAAGTATAATTGTATTAACAACTCCTTTCAAACCTAACGTTAAGCCGAATACTTGTACTGATGTTTTATAACCTCATGACAAACAGGTCCGCTTTTTCTACTCATTCACATGCAGAGAAAATCTTTATTTGGTTATGGAGTACTTAAATGGAGGAGATCTTTACTCTTTGTTAAGAAATCTAGGATGTTTAGATGAAGATATGGCCCGTGTATATATTGCAGAAGTTGTAAGGCACACTAATTTCCGTGTCTTTTGTTAGATTCTCATGTGCAAGTCTGTGGCAATACTACTTCTCCATAAGGTTATTATATGTCCTTTTTTTTTTCTAGGTTCTTGCTTTGGAGTATATGCATTCTTTAAATGTCATTCACAGAGATTTAAAGCCAGATAACTTACTAATAGGTCAAGATGGTCACATCAAGGTTAATATTCTGTCGTTTTATTTATTTTTTTCTATTTTATAATCCCCGCCCAAAAAAAAAAAAAAAAAATCAGAAAATTCCATTTCACCTTTCTATATTGTATATATTATGGAGAGTTCGCTCGTCCATTCTCACAAATGTCTAACCGTTTTGTTACAGCTAACAGATTTTGGGCTCTCCAAGGTTGGACTAATTACTAGTACAGATGACTTGTCATCCCCCTCGGTGACTCATACTGGTTTTCTCGGAGACAACGAAGAAAAGACTCAACATTCATCGAAGAGAGAAGAGCGCCAAAAGCATTCGGTTGTTGGAACTCCAGATTATTTGGCACCAGAGATACTTCTTGGCATGGGACACGGTTAGTTTAAATATTTTGATGCAAAAGATGTTTAAAAATATTAAGATGCCATTTCTAGTTTGATTCTTTATACATACACGTACACAATGTTCTTGTAGGTGCAACCGCTGATTGGTGGTCTGTTGGCGTTATTCTTTTTGAGTTGCTTGTCGGTATCCCACCATTCAACGCAGATCATCCACAGGTAGATCATCAGGGAAAACGGAGCACTGGTTAATAAGTACTGTAATTTTTTTTGTTTTGTTTTTAATTTAATCCCACAATTAATGTCAAGGGTAAAATTGTTTCGTTTAAAGCTCTATATTAACACTAGATTCTTTTCATTTCAGCGAATTTTTGACAATATAATAAACAGAGATATACCCTGGCCCAAAATACCTGAGGAGATGAGTAATGATGCTTATGATATAATTGACAAGTAAGTAGTAGTATTAGAAGTTTTGTCGCGCATGCATTTTCTGATCGATGCAAATGCTTGACATCCTTTTAGTGCCCGCCGTATGCTAAAAGGAGTCTTGATCACATATACATTATCACACACACAAAATCCATTCATTTTCTGCTTCTGTCTGAGAGTTAATGAAACCATGCAACGAAGCATTATTCAATAACGTCAAAGCTAGCTATTATCAAATCACTTACTGCTAGTACACTCACATTTCAGATTGCTTGCTGAAAATCCATTTCAGAGACTAGGAGCAACGGGTGCGGCAGAAGTAAGTTCGTGACCAACAACTCCCATATATATATATATATATATATATGTATATATATCAAAGCCGCAAGTATTGTAAGCAATAATAAATTGCAACACTTTTGGTGGCAGGTGAAGAAGCATCCATTCTTCAAGGATATTAACTGGGATACCCTTGCGAGACAAAAGGTGAATTCAAGGGACATTTCGTAGTATTTAGATGATTATATATTGACAAATCTGTAACACTTGAAAAAAAAAATGTATACTTGCATGGTGCAGGCTATGTTTATACCGTCAACGGATGCACGTGACACAAGTTATTTCATGAGCCGATACATATGGAATCCAGAAGATGACCATGTTAATGGAGACAGTGATTTTGACGATATGACCGACACATGCAGCAGTGGCTCGTATACATGCAGCAATGTGCAAAGTGAAGATGTAAGTAGTATTACCATTAACGTTAACACAAATTTTTTGTTGTTATATATGATAACCATTATTATTTTAACTTCTAGACAAACAAAAGGGTTCAACATGCGTGCCCAAAAAGTAAAACTACTCTAAAGCTAATTCATTTGATCGTTGCTAAAACCTTATAATTAATGTCTATAATCAGGGAGATGAATGCGGCAGTTTGGCTGAATTTAGTTCTCCTGCCCTTGCCGTGCAGTACTCGTTTAGCAATTTCTCGTTCAAGGTAATTAATTAAGGACTGCAAATTACATGTGATTCTGCAATAACACTAGTACTGCATCTACTTTCAGTATCTAATCTATCTATCTAAATCAATTTTAAAATGCTTAATTGCTTGCAATTATTGTTGTACGTGAGAATACAAATTAATGCAACATGTAATGTAATTTCTGCCTCGTACTCTCAGAATTTGTCTCAACTTGCTTCCATCAACTATGATCTGGTTGTGAAAAGCTTATTGGAATCATCGGATGACTCTAAATCATCCCTAATTCCCAAATAAGGTACTTTTTAATTATGTCTCTCACAAATACATTCATTTCTACAAGTTACCAACCAATATTTAATTAATTTGTCTCTTTCTATCTTCTCAAGCTTAATTTAATTATTTATTTATTTTCGTACATGAAAATGGCACGGCCTCCAATTCTTATAGGATTCTTGAAGAGATCGAGCTTTTGATCTTGTAAAGTTCGTCATGTGTGCCTCATCCATTGATGTAATCAGTTGCTAGCATTTCTTCCTCATTAAGGACAATGATGGTTTTTTTTTATTTTTTTATTTTTAAGCCTGTATAGTTGCCTTTACTTTTTTTTTTTTTTTTGCCTCATTTTATTTTTCCATTTTGAGAATAGGATTCACTGCAAACGATCATGTGTGATGTTTTTATATTAACCACATGATTTTTCGTGTATGTACTTTATAAATTTCTCTCTTTTTTTTCTTAAATGCCTACTATCGCGAGTTAATATACCTAAAGATTTACTTGAAAATTTGTAGCACTGAGATGACATTGCCTTGATGTGGTACTAGGATCTACATAATAGTTTAAGTACAATAAGATTATACTTCATTTAAGTGCTATAAATAAAATATTAACAATAATATACATCAATTTGCCACTGATCGCATGACCATTAGCCAAAAAAAAAAAAAAGTAGCTAGTGAAGGGGTAATGATTTTATGTGCATCAATTATCATCATGAGATATTTTTGGCAATGAAAAAAGTATCGATCACAATCATACTAAACTTTCTGTACTTTATGAATAATACATTACATCTCCATTTTTTTTTTTATTATCAATTTTGAAACATCTATTATAAGTATGTCCAATGACCACTGGCAATCATAGAACAATCTCTTTCATGGCCTTAAATGTTCGGAATTAAATATTTCTAAAATTTCTTTATTTCAAAGTGCCAAAAATGGGAGTGGCGTACAAATTGTAGTATGCACATGCGGTATATGAATGATTTATCAAATTGTATCAATTAAGAGGAACAATGATCTTTCCTAGCAAATGATGATGATGATGATGATGATGATGATGATGATGATGATCGTAAGAGGAACAATGCAAAGTAAGAGTAGTCATTTGATAGTTATACGAAACTAGTTGCCTAATAAAGATTGGGAAGAGGATATAATCCGTTCTTTTTTTGTCCCCATTCTTTTGCATGCAATTGCAAGTGTGTTTGCTACTTGTTTAATTCCATGTGAAATTAACATGGCTCAATTAAAGCAACTGAATGTTTGACACTCAAAAATATTCTGCCAAGTTGTAAACCACCCTTGCAAATTTAAATTAGGGTCGTTGCCAAATAAGAATTGGCTAATTGCTCCATTTTTAAGAATTCGCTTTGCTGTCTTTTCGTACACACACCCATTATTCTCCCTAACGTCATCCAAATATTATTTGGAAAAATAAAAAAAAAATTAAAAAAATAAAAAAAACTTAATGTCAGATCTCGTTATTAATTCCTAATACAGTATTAGGCCGGCAGCAGACAACAGTTTTGTACGACATGCATGTCAAAGAAGCTAAACCCTAACCAATAAGATCAGACCACGTCGACGTATAACAAATTTTTGTAGTCCTTAATTTAATTTGCATTATTAATTATCAGCTGTGACTATTTATTTTCGAGATAAAAAGACATTTTCGGTTTACGCTGGGATCAGATTTTCAATCTCCAATCGAGATTATCTCTGCCAATTAAAAGCATATATACGTACTGATCATCCCATAATTCCCATTGATATATTAAGAAAAATTTGAGAAAAAAAAGTGCACATGTGTACACAGACAATCATTACTATGTAGCATTTACAATCAATACAAAATAGCCGTACACATATAGAGGTACGCATTTGTCAAGAAAACGTGAGAGTAACATTTAATCGACTTATTTTGAACGGAAAAACTTGTCAATAATCGACATAAAATATGTCGGTTCAAATTTGATTCCTTCATTAATTTATAGAGTAGATATATATATGCATACACGTAAGATGTATACCTTAATTCTCAAAATCCATTATATATATATATATATATATCTTGTTTGATCAAATAATCATCAATACATACATACAGTGCATAATGAAGATGCAGGCTTATAATAACTTGTCGTTGGGTGCAGCGTACTTTTGGATGCTGATGATAATCATAACAACGAGCTGCAGCTTATTTGAGTCCACAAATGGTGCTGCGCCTGCGTACAGCATCAACGTGGCGCGCTACGGTGCAAGATCAGACGGCAAAAGCGAGGCGAGCAAGGCGTTCATGAAGGCATGGTCAACGGCGTGCCACTCGGGGAGGCCGGCGGTGACAATATACGTGCCGCGAGGGCTTTACATGTTGAAAAATGTGGTGTTCACAGGGCCATGCAGGAGCAGGATTGTTTTCCAGATTGATGGCACGCTTCTTGCACCATCCAACTATTGGGAGCTGGGAAGCTCAGGGTTTTGGATTTTGTTCCACAGGGTTAATAGGATGTCCATTCATGGAGGCACTATTGATGCTAGGGCACATTCTTTCTGGGCTTGTCGAAAATCTCCCGGCAATAATTGCCCTCCTGGAGCAAGGGTAGGTCATTTTTCTAATTTAACTAAACTTGGCACATTAATTTATTTAATACTGTGAAAATTAAATATTACTTCGTTTTCTCACATAAATATTTTTATAGATATATTATTTCACGCCTAATTATGACCATGATACACACACACACACATGATATGACGCTGATCGACATGTATAAATGGATGGTGTATGCAGTCAATAGCGTTCTCGTGGTGCAGCAACATAGTGGTAAGTGGGTTAACTTCAACAAACAGCCAGATGAAGCACCTTACATTTGACCATTGCAACAATGTGTTGGTTCGCAAAGTGAAGATCAGAGCCCCAAGCTCAAGCCCCAACACCGATGGCATCCACATCCAGTCTTCCTCGGCCGTCACCATTCGCGGTGCCAACATTATGACCGGCGACGACTGCATATCTGTCGGCGCAGGGTCCCGCAACCTTTGGATGGAGAGAGTCACTTGTGGTCCTGGTCATGGAATAAGCATAGGGAGTCTAGGGGATTATGCAAATGAAGAAGGGGTCCAAAATGTAACGGTAACAAGTTCTACCTTCACAAAGACTCAAAATGGGGTAAGGATTAAGTCGTGGGCCAGACCCAGCAATGGGTATGCTACTGATATTGTGTTCCAGAATTTGATCATGAATAATGTCTACAACCCCATCATCATCGATCAAAAGTATTGCCCCGGTAACCAAGGTTGTCCTCATCAGGTATATTATATTAGTTATATATAAATATCATAATATTTAAGGACAAAATTTATTAGTCAAAGCAATTAGTTAATCTCTTGTGATTAAATTCTAATTATATATAGATGATTTGGTTTGTGATTGTTATTAGAGCTCAAGCGTGAAGATTAGCAGCGTGACATACAAGAATATAGTGGGAACATCGGCAACAGCAGTCGCAATGAATTTGTATTGCAGTAAGAATAATCCATGCCGGGGGATCAAATTACAAGACATAAAGCTTACTTATCATACAAGGTCCCCAACTTCTGTTTGTGTCAATGCTCGCGGCACCAGTAGCGGAGTTGTCATACCAAAGAGTTGTTTAGGGAGGAACTATTAATAATTGTTTATAATACATAATATATTAATATTATTAATATTAATAATAATAATAATAATAATATTATTATTATTATTATTATTTTTATTATTATTATCACTATTATCACTAGTAATAATACTATTACTATTATTACTATTATTACTATTATTACTATTATTATTATTATTATTATTATTATTATTATTATTATTATTATTATTATTATTATTACTACTATTATTATTATTACTATTATTATGTGTGTTGTGCACATGTTATTGTAAAATGAATAAACACTTTGCAGCTATGTTAAATAAACGTGATCATTATATTTGTTATCTTATCATAAATAAATGCTTTTTTAGTCATGGACATTGTACTTTACATCTTTTAATTTAAAAATATTAAGCTTAATTTCTTATTTTACTTACTTTTATATTTATTTTGCTGGAAACTATATAACATTAAAATAGAGAAATGTTAGCATTTTGTCACTCTCTTTATACTTTTTACATTTACTGTTTGATATGTGGACTCTACTAACACAATATATTATTATTTAACAAAATACGAGAGATCACTTGCTGAAGAAATTATAAACAACGCATGAAGCTTGTATTGTGAATGAAAATGGTTTTTAAGTTAATACTATTTGAGAAGAAGGTGAACTTAACAAAACAACAGGGGCAGCTCAAGGGTAAGGAATGAGTCAACGCCCCATCCTGCTTATTCTTTTTTTTTTTTATATATAGAAAAGGTGTATATTTTCTAGTGTATTCAAGTGAATTTTTTAAATTTTAAACGTGTTTTGTGGAAATATAAAGATTGTAATTTTCTTCATTTGAAATATTGATGTATCTTATTTTCCTCTAAACATCCAGGTTTCTTCTCCTCTAAAAAAAAAAATAAAAAAATAAAAAAATAATAATAAATAAAAACCCTCCAACAATACAACTTTTTCATTCCTGATTTCTCGTTCCTTCCATCTCAACATTCGTTTCAACGCTATTAAAAAAAATTATTCCAAAAGTACAATTTGAAGGCTTTTATAGTTCAATATTTGAATAATTTTATTGCTAGTTTTGTTATTCTTAATTTCTTCTTTGAGATTCATATCATATTTTTATCTATTGTCTTGTTTGGATAGAAGTTTTGTTATTTGTCTAACATAAATTACGAATATACTAATAATCTGGATACAAGGAAAGTAAGAGGAAAAACTTGAGAACAGAAAATTTTATTAAAGCCTAAAGAGGAGCTCTTGATTAAAAGATCTTATTAAAAGTCAAAGTTAAGTAGCTGAAACATATGAATTAGGAGTATGGTGATCGTAGAAAAAATATATATTAATAAAATAAATTAACCATGATCCTACCTAAAATCCACAATGTAACAGAAATTATTAAATTGACTAGCCAAATGATCTACCAAATTCAAGATATATATTAACAATAATTCTTGAGTAAAAAATTTAATCATAATTTTGCAGCTAGAAGAAAAAAAAAAAAACAATATATTTTACATATAAAAATGCATATAAATTTTCAAAAGGCCTCTTATACAATTTCGTTTAAGCCCTTGAGTCATCTTGACCCGGCCCTGCAAAACAAGTAATTAAGAGCTCTGTTATACTTCTCAAGGAATGAAAACTAATCATAGGTTACGAATGTGTCAGCATGCATGATGATCGATCATTTGAGTTTATGCATACTTTATGAAGCAAAGTAGTGCGTACGTACAAGGGGTACGATCTTGAATGTGTCCCTTCTCCCCATCTTACGCTTTATCTTCTCAGTTGTAATAATTTCTCAAAAGTTCAATAGTTTGGCGAAGAGGAAAGTGACGCTATGTTGAAGTTTACATGTTTGTAATGAAGTCGGATATAAAATTATATAGTCATCAACGTACGTTTGGCTATTGCCTTTTATATATGGTAATTTCTTTGGTATATGTATATCTGGAACATTATATATTACAATAAGCAGGTGGACTACCGTTATTACGGTTGAAGTGTTGAAAACTGAAAAGGGTAAAGTGCTTTTTAATGAGTACGGTTGCGGTTGACCAATTATATGCTATAATATAATTATATCATACTTAAGTGTTTAATTAGTAGTGCGTGTTTACATTCCTGCAAGTTCGGCAAGGATATCGCCTACTACTCCTCCGCGTTTCCTCCACGTGTCACGTGGATTAATTTGACAATATAATTCATCTTCTTATTTATCGCATAATGTCATTACAATAAGTACAATATATACCATCAATATTTATTATCAGTGAAAATTGATCATGACCATGCACCCTCTCTCTATCTCATTCATTTTCTTTCTTTTTTTCCCTGAAAAACAAAAAGAGGCTTCTACAACGATTTAAATATAAACAAAATTTAGTGAATAGAACATACTTTTTTTATTAATAATAGAACATATAATATACTTTGTGAGGGCATGCATTCATGCATCTTCTTATAAAGCACTTATCACATGGCCTCCTGCCGCCACCTCTGATCTCTCTCTCTCTCTCTCTCTCTACAACTTATCACATGCAATATATATATGTCTCCGTACATATCATAATTCATATGCACATGATCTATGTAAGCAATGACGCCCTTAATAATGGTTTTGACTTCGGCTTATTTAATGACTTGTATGTGAAACTAAGCAAATGGACATTAATATTCTAGAGTTGAAGTATCATTATTACTAACTATTGTACCCTATGTACGTATATATGTATATTACATGGTATATATATATATATACACACACATAATGTACATATAACCTGCAAACTGGTTATTCATTCGTTCCATAGCCATATTAACTAATTACTAAAAATCTCTAGCTAGCTCTCCCAAGTCTGTTTTTTCTCTTCATATTCATTACAACTTGAACAAAAATGGCAATAACTAGTCATAGTAAGCTTGTAAAAGTGGTTGTGTCATTGATCTTGTTCATGATGATGTCCTCCTCCTTCCAATTATCCCATGCGGCCTATGTTTTCAATGTGATCCGCTACGGTGCAAAAGCAGATGGCAAGACAGACTCTACCAAGGCTTTCCTGAGGGCGTGGGGAGCGGCCTGCGGCTCAAGGACGGCGGCAACGGTGCATGTGCCCAAGGGCAACTTCTTGATAAAGGCTGCAGTGTTCAGAGGGCCTTGCAGGGAACGAATTACAGTGCAGATAGATGGGACGCTTGTTGCGCCTTCAAACTACTGGGCTCTTGGCAACTCTGGCTACTGGATTTTGTTCATCAAAGTCAACAGACTTGCTGTTTATGGAGGCACTCTTGATGCCAACGGATCTGCCTTCTGGGCTTGCAGGAGACTTGGAAAGAATTGCCCTGTTGGAGCTCGGGTATCCGTGGCCGTATATATATAATTCATCAATATTATTGCTGTTGAGTTGTCATTATATATACATACATATATATATATATTAATAAAAATATTTTAATTATTGTGGCGTGATAATATTAGGGAACATGAAACGGGAAAGGAAGAAGGCATAATGTGAGCTACATGCATCCATTCTCACCACATAACTCTGCTAATTTTTAATGCTAGCTACATGCCTACATCACATAACTCTGTTATTTACTTAATTTAATTTTAAAAATCTACTATTTACTACAATTTTCTAAAAAAATATATATATAAAAAGAACTCGAGAAAAAACTAACTACCTTGAGTCTTTGACCAAAGCTTTAAATATTGAAAATGTTGAGCCCAAGGCCAATCTAGGAAATTGAGAAGCAAAGTTGGGCTGGATATGGGCCCATAAAGTAATAACGTTTTTTTTTTTTTATAAAAAATAAAGGGAAATAGTAGGAAATACTTAAGAAAGTATATAGGCTAATTTTTAGTTATAGAAATTAATAAGTCATAACTTGTCAAGTTATGGTTCATAATCAGATAAGTTATGGATAAATTTGTTAAGTTATGGTTCATAACCAGATAAGTTATGGACAATAACTTGTCAAGTTATGGTTCATAACCAAACAAGTTATGGACGAAAACAGTAATTTAGCATGTTTATTAACTTATGTAAATTATTGACCTATTAATTTTAATTCATCTCAAGTCTTGGCCTATTTCCCTCTTTCTCTCAAAAATATATATATGTATATATATTCTGATAGAAAAGCAGATTAAAGTAATAGTGATTTGGTATGAAAATGAAGTGAACTAGGTGTGGTTGTATAGGTTTGGTTTTTGTGGCTAATAATTATTAATATATATTATTACTAATTTGAAAAAAGTTGAATAATTGGATGCACAGTATTCACTGGGTCAGACAATGGAGTTAGAATAAAGTCGTGGGCAAGGCTTTGCAATGGGTTTGTGAGGAACATTCTCTTCCAGAATCTCATTATGAACAACGTTGAGAATCCTATTATTATTGATCAGAACTATTGCCCTAATAACCGAGGTTGTCCCCGCCAGGTGCGTAGTACATCAGTAATTTTTATTAATTCTAAAGTTTCATAATTATCTCTCTCATTGAAAATTATATAATTAATTAGCTACTAATTGTATATTTGATATGATTGAATTCATGATATATAGAGCTCGGGAATGAAAATTAGAGATGTAACGTACAGAAATATAAGAGGAACGTCGGCGACGGCAGAGGCAGTAACATTTGATTGCTTTTAGAGTTAGTAAGGATTTGGTTATTTTGTAATTATTCTTGATTAAGTGGGTTAGTCAACCCGTGTATGTATAAATAGTGCATTATCAGTGTATTTTGTACACAAGTTTAGTATTCTAATGAGAAGTGATTTTTCCTTCTTCATTTGCTTTTGCTTCCGTCATATGGTATCAGAGCAGCTATTTCGCTGCTCAATCTCGATTCTTCTTCGTCTCGATTCTTGATTCTCGATTCTCGATTCATCTTGAATCCTTATTTTTTCTTTGATTCCGACTGAATACTTTGGAATTCTTCGATATTCCTCTTTCATTTCTTTGGATATTCCAAGTTCTGGAAATTCCTCTTCTCCGTCAATTAGT